AGCGGGGCCGACGCTGCTCCTCGCGAGCCCCCAGTAGCGGCCAAAGCGGGGCTTTTCTGCCTAGCCCTACGCTGCCTGTGCGGCCTGGTGCCTTCCCCGGGGCGCAGAAGCATCTGTCTCTGTGGGGTGGGAGGTCTTGCTCTCTGCAGCTGGAATTGCCCCTACGTGGAGTTGGCGTTTTCTGGCGAAATACGCAGAGTCGGTCGGTTTTTCTTAGCAGCCTTTTTTTGTTGGCTCTTTTGCTATGCAGCAGCCCAATGAAAACAAAAGGGGGGGGGAAATCATTGTGTGCTTCTGAGAGTAGCCGTAGGGATTGCTTGCGTGTAGAGACCCCTATGCAGGCTTAGTGCCTGGAAAGGGAAAAAGCAGTGTTTTTTTTTTTTTCCTGAAAGTGAGGAATTTCACTGCTGGAGGAAAAAGTCATATTTTGCCATATTTCCAGAAAATTAAAATCCGTATATGTGGTTGTGTAGTGAAGAGATTAAGACGTCTTGCAGGTTTCACATGGTAATAGGTAGGGCTGTTTTTTCCAAGATGAGTGAAAATACAGGAAGGGATTTTCAGTAGGACCTTGGTAGCGCTTCCTCTCTGGAATGCACTTAGCTGCTTCACCTGCAGGTTTCTGTGACAGTTTTCAGGTTCAAGATTCTCTTCTACCGTTTCCTAAACTGTTGTCCTAAGAAAGTGATCCTTAAAATACTCGTAGAATTTTCATGTGGTAGATGATGTTGCTAACTTATGGGCTTATTCTTACGCGTTTCTCTTCATGTTAAAAGGAAATACTAAGGATTGAGTGATAATTAATTAATACTCTTCAACACCAGCTAAGCATACCCACTTATTATGCCACATCAGCGTATTTGGGCATATGGTTTTCCGGTTAACATTGTTTTTATATTCATGTTGTGCCTTGTAAGCAATATGTTGAGGTAAATGCAGTAATGATTAAGAGATTTGGGGCTGATTTAAAACTTCTCTTTGCACAACGTTATTTTAGTTTCCCAAAGAAACATGTCAGAGCTAGTAGACTAGTTCTTAATTCTCGGTAGATCCTTGTTTGCACTTTTAACATTTACTGTTATTTCTGCTCTGGGCTTTATAAATGTACTCCCTTATATGATAGCAAGAAAACAAATTTTCATGTCTTTCACTTAAATTTTCATTGGGTATCTAATCTGTAAGTTTCTTGCTCTAGTTGTGACGTAACTGGATATAGTGCTTTAAAGATGGATTGAGAGATGATTCTTGAGGCTAATGATTTTCAGAGAAAAGTGTAAATGCGTGCTATTCATCCTCCCTCTTTTTACACTACTTATCATTTAGATCTGATGAGATGCAATTAATTAAAATTTTCGCTGCTTTTTCTGCAAAGTAACTAAAGTATCGCTCGGTTCTGAACACACGTCTCTCCTTCGTAGCTTTTCCTTCATAATTGAAATGTCTTCTCTCTGGTTATGCTTCAGTCTTCATTGTCATTGTTAATGTTTGCATGTTTAATTCTGATTAATAATTCAGAGCTATTACAAGTTGTCCTCTGTCATAACTGACTTGATTCAGTAAATTGCATTGTGCTTTTCTGGGAAAGAAAAAATAAATATGAGTATTTCCTAATGCAAGGACTTTAAATTTCTCCCATGGATTATAGATAACTGCTGCCTTTTGTGATAGCCTG